AAAGAAAAGAAAAAGAAAAAAAAGAAGAGTACAATTAAAGAGACTGTAAAACAACAATCACTTAATATTTGTTCATTAGTTCTGTACAATTTTTAACTTTTGAACATATCTGCAAGTAATTTTGACATTGATGTATTTCCAATCGTACGTGCAAAATAAGTTTTTTCAACTAATAATGATGGAATACTCCGTAATAAGGGTAATGTTAAAAGTAATCGACCAAAACTAAAAGAAATTTTCATTAAAAAGTACTAAACAAAAAAAAAAAAATGAAATAAATTTACCGAGTTGGTTGTGTTGGATTATGAATTTGTGTAAATTGAGCCAATGTTATTTGTGCTTGATCTTGTAAATTTTCAACCATTTTTGATTCTCTTAATGATCGAATATCTAATTTTAAAAGGATAAAAGATTGTTTTTTTTTTTATAAAAAGAAAATTTTCATTTATATACCGAAACGAAAAAGAACTATAGCTTTTAAACAAGCAAATTCAATTGGATCAAGTTTTAATTGTTTAAAACGATATAAAATATCATTTAATAAACGATAAATAGACTTTCCATTTTCATTATCTAATTGATAACGATTAAGAGCTGTTGTAAAAAGAGGACCACCATTATCTAATGATGATGAACATTGTATTGCCCAAAGAAGAAATAATTCTGACCACGATTCTTCTAATAAAATCAACTGGAAAAAAAAAACAAAAAAATTTATTTGACAGATGGAGAAAAAAAAAGTAATTTTTTTTGTTCTTGAAGATTAACAATGATACTTCTAAATCTCTTCTACTTGACAATTTTTAGTTCATCTTATTATCACTCTTATGTTGATTGAATGTGAATTTATTTATTTCTTGATCCGTCTTTCATCATTTGATTATTTGAATAGACAACGATATGTATCGAGTTCATCAAAAGATGTTCACGTTTTCAAATGACATGATATTTCAGGATTAGAATATGTCAATAAAAAACATTATTTGAACTTGTTTCTTTTGATAGACACAGATATATATATATATGTGTATATAAATATAAATAATACCTGATCACGAAAAGGTAAACTTGAAAATGTTGGTAAATTACGAATCCATTTAACAATCATTAAAAGTATTTGTGCTGATGTTGCGGATATTTGATCATCTGTTTCATTTGGAAATACTTGTGATGTTGATAAATCACATTCATCTTAAATAGAACGCAAAAAATGAACAAATTTTGTAAGAAAAAACACGAGATGTTTTGCTTTATTATCTACCATCTTGTTTAATTGATGATGTACTACCTTCACCAGGTGATGAAGCTGGATTAGAGTTCGTTGGTCGATGATGCATAACTGATACTGTTGTACCATTACCATCACAATTAAAATCAATTGAATCAGCACGAACTTGAGCACTATTACGTGGCTGACGTTCATTTTGTACAGCTTAAAACACAAATTCATATAATTCTTTTTTTTTCAATACATATAATAGTGGCGAAGCAAGAGGAACTTGGTCTTAACCCTGTGGCAAGACTTTTGAAAGAACCATATTGAAACTTATATTTCTTATATTTTATTTGTATCAAAAATACATATAAATTTCTGAAAATGAGATATGTATATTAATATGTTTCATTGCCAAGTTCAAAAATCTTTCTAGAGGAGGAGAGCTGAGCCTAAAATCCTGGTTCTGCCATTGTCATACAAAGAGACTTTACCTTCTTTTATCATACCCATTTGTAAACACTAAAATAAATATCAAAATTATTTTATAAAAAAAAAAATTATTGATTTATATTACCTTTTTAAGTCGACAAGCTTGACATTGATTACGATGTGCTTTATCAACAATACACATACCCGTATTAGCTTGACATCTAAATAATGAATATCATATATTTCCATAATATTCTAAATAAGAAAAAACAAATCGAACCGATAGATTAATTTTCGTCTAACGCTTCTTTTAAAAAATCCACTACAACCATTACACGCTAATATTCCATAATGTTTCCCACTTGAAATATCTCCACAAACAGCACAAATTAGATTATTTCCAACATTATGACTTGATGAAATTGTATTTGTTCCTACAACTCCAACAGCAGCCGCAGCTGCAGCAGCAGCAGCTAATTTAGCAGCTTGTTGATTACGTTGTTGCTCAGCAACAACAGCCGCTGCAGCTGCTTCAGTATATTTAGCCATATTAGCAAAATAAGCATGAGGTGAGATTGGATATGGTTGTACAACTGCATAACGATGATTTGTAAATGAATGAGGGCGAACCATTTTTGATGATGACGATGATGATGATGATGGTAAACACATTGAGAGAATACCAAATGGATTTTCAGCATTTGAAGCTGTTTTAGGAGGTATTAAAGAATTATAATAATTTAAATTTGGTTCTTCTTTTGGTTGAACAAGTTGTTCTTGTTCATCATTATTACTTTCAATACTACTATGATTACTATTATCATCATCATTAATTGTTGGACTTGTTTCATTTGGTGATGAACAATCTAATCAAAGAATAAATATATACAAATCAAATTCATTCCGTGTTTCTCTTTTTTGCTCATTCCGTTTTTTTTTAGATTAAGATTTGCCGCTCACACGTCTCTTCTTTCTTATTCATCCTTATGAGAACAACAACACTACTCAAAATGATGATGATGTGTGTATGTGATTAATTTTATATAGAATCTATGTACTAGTAGCTACATTGCTTGACAAGTTTAACGATGTTAATTTAGCCAGAGTGAACACATACTCAGCATGATGTCTTCAAATCATTGATCACTTGTGCGAAGGAAAATGAAGAAGAAGAAAAAAAGAGATCGATGTGATGTGCGTCTAATTTGTTCTACTTCGTCGCTGCATGATTATTATTATCATCATCATCATCGCCTTTTTTTTTATATATTTATAGATATATGAAATATTCGATCGAGCAAAAAGAAGATAAGTTTTTTAGACTTAATTGGATAACGTGCTGTCGTTGTCGTCAACTTCCAATTCTCAATTTCTAGAAAGAAATCTATTGAATTATCATCGTGCAAATAACAATTGAACAGGCAAAGTCTAATCGAAAAAAAGAGAACATGTCATAGACAATAGAACGACAAGTGAATGTCTCAAGATAATCATTGTTCACTAGACAATTTACGGTTCGAAAGACTTACTCACGCACTTACATATCAATCGCAAAAAGTTTTAGGATATGTTTCATGGAAAAAAAGCAAAGACAAGATTAAAGAAACAAACCAAAACTTGCAAAAACAGGAAAAAAAAAAGAATTTCTACGTAATATCAACATATACATACCATCGTTGTTTGTTGATTTATTATTATTATTATTATTATTATTGCTTTCATTAATATCCATAGTTAAACAGTCAAATGAAAAAAAGATAAGAAAGAAAAAATTTGTCTTCTTGCACAAAAAACAAAAATGTCAAGTGTTGAGGTGTAAATCAAGCGCGAGGCGTCGAGATCGAATGAAAGAGCACTACCAACCATCATCAGCGATCAACTTAATTTCGAGTGGTTGGAAAGAGAGAGAAAAAGAGCAAAAGAAAATCTTTCATTGGTTCATATCCGTTAAAGATTTGAGGAAAAAAGAAAAAAAAATCTTCGTCTCTTTTTCTTCTTCTTTTCTTTCAACGAATCAGCTTCTTCACAATTTTCTTCGTTCCCTTTTATGTGACATGTCAGAGAGCGGTATGGCATACAAAACAGGGAGAGAGAGAGAGAAGAAAAAGAGATTTACTGCTATTGCACTGACTACCAATGTTGAAATTGGGGATTAATAAGAGGAACCATCGGATATGAAATATTTTTTTTTCTTCTCTTCTACTAAGACTGAATCAGGCACGCATATATTCAATGTTAAAAAAAAGAAAGAAATCTTTGACATACACATATTTATCAAGTAAAGCAAAAAGAAAAACAGGAAGAAAATTGTTAGATTAACTATCGAAGAAAATAGTAAAATTAATTTGAATATGTAGATCAGTGAATTGGTGAGAGAATTTATAATACATAGATATTTTTATTTACTTATAGTCTTTTAAATAACAGAAAAACATCTCATCAAGCTTGTTTTTATTGACAGATGTATTGCCAACAAAAAAAAAACGAATGTCAATTTCTTTCTTTCTTTCTTTTTTTCTCTCTTCATCAAATTGAATGAACAACGACGAATGCGTGTTAAAGGCTTATCATTTCAATTTATTTTAACAATATATGCCATCCTTACTAGTAAATCTAACATACACCTAGATATAGTTTTAAATCGTTGAATAAATAGAAAATGAATTTGATCATCAACATGTATAAAGACTATAGTAGGTATAATTGATGTGACACGTGTGAATTTAACCAAGCGAATAATGACTTTTTCGTCAATAGATGAAGAAGAAAAAGAAAAAAAAGGAAAAAGTTATCTTTTACAAAAAAATTCTATGACAGATGAATCGATTAGATTTCGCGTGCTCTTGGTTTTATGCATATTATATATGTGTTTTACACTTGAAATTTACCGTTTTTCTTTTCTTCTTCGTTTTTCTTTAACAATCTTTTCTTGTTTAATGAGACACGCAGCAAGTTATAACTATGCACTGTAAACGTCAATCATAATGTCGTCGGTCTGCCAACAACAAGTGGATTTGTCCTAACTTTGACGCGATTTGTCACACGCACATATTTCTAAACGTCATGCATGCTTTCGGAATGTCTCATTAGAGTTGAACATTTTTGTAATCTTTAGAATATAATAGAAAATTTCGTTTAATATACACACACGCTCTGAGTTATCAAAAAACAAAAAAAAAAGAGAAAAAAAGGATAGCTTGTTCAATCACAGTGAATATGACAATTGGATAAGAGAAAAAAAGATGCTATGTATTCACACTCACAACTATAATAATAAAGGATGTCAAGGAGAACATCAAAAATATGAAAGAACAAAGAATTGATGAGGGTGTTGTCTTCTTCTTCTTCTTCGCTTTTAGCGTAATCCAAATCCTGCAGCATTATCAATTGCTATAGAAAGTTTTTCTTGCAATTTTTCAATTGATGAGTAATCAGGAAGTAGAAGGGCATTGAAACATGTGTGTGCTGTTGGTAAACGATCAGAGTCCGGACCATTACGAGATATAATTAATTTTAATCTAGCTAAACCACCAATACTAAAAATAGACATCTTAATTGTTTTTTTTTGATTAATTAAAAGACAAGAAATAACGTACGGAGCACGATCGCTACCAGTAGTAAATTGTAAAAATTTTCGTTTTTTTTCATCAGTAAATGTCATTAAGACAGACCAAAAATTTCTAAATAAAAAAAAAAAATTACAGAATTTTATTTAACTATATTCGTTGAACATATATGAAACTATTAATTATAGACAACCGAATCATACTCTTGAAAAGAGATCATTGACGAATAATAATTAAAAAAAAAAAGAAATATGATGTTCTATCTGTTACAATTAATACATGTATTAAATCCAATACAAAGAATATTCATAGGCATAAACTAACAATAGTTTAATGTTACAACTTTTTTTTTTTATTTATTCGATTCATATAATAAACTTAATCTTGATTCCACACATTTTCCACTATTTTAATTACTTCCGAATGTGCTTCTACAGCTGGTTTACTTTCACAGGCATCATCTTTAATTAAGTGGAGAAAAACACTGTTCTTAATTAAGATGTGCTTATTCTTCCGATCTGAAAAAACGAATAGAACTTATTTTATTCTAGTACATCAAAAGTAACTCGTCATGTTGGGCGAATAATGAACTCAGTACAACCGTGATATCTCGAAACCGATAAGAAGATTTTTACTAAAGTAATAAAACACTGGAACTTCACTAGAGATAAACGAAAATGTTTCAAGATTCGGAGAGGGGGGAGTCAGCCCTGAGTTGTAACCGATTGAGAATTTTTGAACCGGTCTGGTCTGGCAAGTTTATTGAATTATTATTGATAGGTTACTAAAAGTGACTTCAAAACAAAAATTCATTTTCCTTTTTCCACTTCAGTTTTTACAAATTTTCAGCAGAAGAAGTATCACGTTATAGTTATTTTTTGTATGTTAAGTTCTTAAAAATATGTGATACTTCTATATATAATACGCCTAGACATCATCAACCTATCAATTGATTGTTACAATCAAAGTCTTGAATTTTCTTACTCAGCTTTTTTAGACAAATCTAAATTTGATCTTTACCAACAGTATATAATATAAGTTTAGTTCCGGAAACACAGTTCTCATTGTGCTTTTTAAAAGATGGAACATACTTCATTGAAAGAAATAAAACAGTATAAATGATCTTGAATCAATAATGCCTGATGATTATGGTAAGAGCAAGCAAACTTGCTCTTAACAAATTTTATCCAAAAAAAAATGGCGTATCTACAATATATTTTCCAACTGATAAAGATTGATCGGACCTGCTTATAACACTGGCTTATTTCTCTCAAATTTTATAGGTAAATCTTTAAAAACGATGAAAGATCTGTTGTTTCTTCAACCAATACCAGATAGATTACATTTTCTAAATAATAATCGAAAGACTTACCTAATTGTTGGACTATCTTTTGTATAACCACCATCATAATCAGCAGCTGAAGCAAGTTGATTAAAATCAAGTACTTGACTACCAGCGACAAGTAAATCAATTTCATCTGCGCGAAATAATTTTCTTAATGAACTATCACGTGTTACCAATAAAAATCCATGAAAAAAAGGATCAAATTGTTTTTCAATACTTTTGTTTAACAAAAGATCACTGTAAAGACGTACAAATTCCTATAGAATAAGAAAAAAAATTTCTTGATTAAAATTCTGAAGACTAAAGAGAAAATTCGTTTGATAACCTCTCGATTAGCATTTGTTACCGGAATTGTATTTCCATTTTCTTTCAAATCAAATAATACTGGTGAATCAATTGCATCAGTAATAGCAACTTGAAATGTTAAACCAAATGCATCTTCAACAGTGATACCTTCATTTTGTTCATCAAATGTTAAAAGACTTTTTAAACTTCTATATATGGTCTGAAAGGAATAAATATTTCTTCAATAAAAAATATTCGTAAAGAAAAAAAACAAAAGAAATCTACCGGATGTGATGCTTCGAGATCTTCAAAAGTACCAATTTTCCCAATTAATTTACGATAAATAACAAGTGGAAATTTAATATCAAGAATAATTGAATTATATATAGCTAAACCTAATAACATGCCTATTAATGTATATTCACGATCGAGATCTTCAGCTGCTGATGGATTAAACCATAAACAACGTGTTTCTTCATTTGCCATAAACATACCTAAGATGACAAGAAGACCTGTGTGCATTAAAAGAATCTAACATCGAACTCAGCATTATCTGTATATATACATATAAGAAATCAAGCTAAGAATGAGATTGTTAGTTGTTTCAATAAGTTTGATTGACGGTTTGTTCGAATAGTACTGCTACTAGGAGAGTGAATGTATTAGCATTTCAATCGATTGTAGTTTTCTTATGAGTTTTGAACGATTAACTATGAGAACATCAGCGACATCTTATTTTGTTATTAAAACTATGCTCGACAAAATTTGCCTTTCTCTTATTGTACATAGCTTATGCCTTTGATTATCAGAGTAAGCATATGAAGAGTCTTGAGAACTTTTAGTAACTCGAACTATATGGTAGACTTTCTTTTTCAGATAGATAAAGGAGTGAGCGAAGTACACCAAATGAATAGTTTATTTTCTAGAACATGATTTAAGAAACAAAATAAGATTTTTACTCATATTTTTCTAATTAATCGTTCAAAATTTATGAGAAGAATAAAATACATTGAACTGGTAAACGCACTCACTCTTCTCCACTAGTAGAAAAGATCGAACAAACCATTTAATCTTTTCTTATTACAATAGACATTGAAAAATATTGAAAACAAATACAAACAACTAATGTAATACATTTTGTATTAACAATTGGTACTCATTGATTCTTCATTACTATTTTAGTTGAACGTGTTATCCGTTAATTAATCGTCATCGACTAGATGTCTCATATTAATCTTTTATTCACCAATATCCATAGGTGTGGATGTAGCTATCGATTGATAAAAAAGATTATTTTGCTTCATTGCTGTCTCTAAAAAGACATGACTTACAAAATCGATAGGTTTGGAAAAATAGTCTTTTTTAAAAGAATTCTTTTCCATCTACCGAAAAAATATACTGTGCGTACGTGTTATGTGATATATATCAGCGAAAATATTGATTAATAAATGAAATGCATTTCAAAAGCTCTCCAATAGTTTAACGAATAAAAGATGGTAAAACATGAAATGATCCCTGTGTTAGCCCTCAGAATGTCAACAAGAGAATGAAGCACATGCAGCATAGAGTGTTTGAATAAACCTTACCACATTAGAATTCGATCAAAATATTTATTGTCGATTCAATGCTTTCATTGATAGATAATATCATGACTTAGAGACCAAAAAAATGTTTTTAAAACAATGCGTATCTTACATACATGTCTTGTTGCAAATATGTTTTCCTATAGTCATCTTTTCTTTTATTCTATCAGTCATATCAAAAATAAAAATAAAAATAGATACCAACTTTGTCTGATCAACTCTATCACAGTAGAGAGAAAAATGTAAGATATTTCAAGTTATTAGAATCGTTGGTTTTTTTTTAATGTTTACTGTAAGAGTCAAGTATTCTGCACAAACACTAATGTATCTGGTTCATTAGTTCTCTCTGAAAGCAACATGATGATTAGGATGAAGAATTAAACTAACTCTAAAATTTTTCTATATGAGCTTAAATTTGAGAAAAAAAACTTTGCATTTAAAATCAAACATGTTCAAATCTATTCTCAGTTTTTTTACGCTGACTGTTGACAAAACATAATTAATTTGAAGAAATTAAATTCAACATCAAATAAATAGAAAAATTTATAAAACAAAAATTCGTTGCTGAAAGAAAAAAGACAAATATAAAGTAACGCACCGTATTCTGGACTAAAAATTTGTTCAGTAATAAGTTGAAAAAATTCTTTTGATAATCCACCTAAAAAAATATGTAATAATATTTAATAAACGAAAAGAGAAAAAAACAATATTTCAAAGAAATTTTCAATACCTTCATCATGACCTTGTTCGCCTTCAAATTCGACAAAGAATTGTTTTTTAAGTTCCTCAGGATGTTCAATACCTTGATATTCGAGCTAGACAAAATAAATTGTCTTCTATAGAAAGAAAATTTGTGTGAGGAAACACATATGATTTTCACATACCGAAATAAGAGCATCTTCAATTAAATGATTACGTCGAACATGTATTTTAAAAAATGGATTTAAACGAATTGAACTAAATATATTATGAACAAATATTGAACGTCGTTGAAGATACATTCGTGCTTTACTTTCAATATTAAGTAATGCTTAAAACAAAAGAATAGAAACAGAAAATTTTTATGAAAATAAAATTTATATAAAATTACCAATTTTATTTATCGTTGATAAAAAAAATGGATAGAAAATAAATGAAAATTGAATAAAATTAGTTGGTTGTTGAATAAAATTTAAATATTCTTTTCTAATCTCAATTTTTTCATTAGCACATTCATTAATAAATACATCAAATGGATATTGACCATGCCGATATTCATTTGATTTAAGACCAAGTTTTATTTGTAAAGGATTCTCATATGGTGATTCGATTTCATCTACTTGATTGGTTGATTTACGTGTTGTTGTTGCTTTTTTTGTTGCTGCTGCTGTAGATGTCGAAACTTCAGAATTATTTTCATCATTGGGTAGTTTTTGTTCGTTTTCACGCTGTCCTTCGTTATCACTAGCATCATCATTATACCGTTGACGACGTTTAACTAATTCATTTTCCATTTTTTCATTATTTTTACGTTCAGTTTCTATGATTTCTAATGAATCACGTTGACTACTAAGAAGATTAGCATAGAAAAGTAGACGTAATGCATTGACTCCTTCTTTCATTCCTAATAAAAGAAAGAAAAACAAATGAATAAAATCCATAGTATGTAAATTGACGATGAACTACGAATGAAAAGCAGCTCTATAAATAATCGCAAAATGTTTAGTCTTTCTATTTCACCTATTCAATAACAGTATTCTGATAAATTAACCATTGACTAATAATTATTGCTCTTCAACCATCGATTGTATAGATTAGTTCTTAGCGCATGTAACCATTGCATATAAAAATGTTCCGCCGGCTAATATACTCGGAATGTGTTCAATTCAAATTGTATAAATCTACAGTCTACTAATAAATGATTGAGTGTATGTCAAATGAATTCTGTTATTTCAAAATCTATATGACTCTCATGAAGATAATTCTTTTGCTGAATTCACATAGAACTAAATATCAGTGCAATGGAATTTTCGACACATTATACAAGTAGAAAGATTTTTACATCTTATTATAGATAATTTTTTCGGAAACTCATTGTCATGCCAAAACGATGAAGACTAGATCTGAAGAGTAAATCATTCTATTTTTTGATTATTCGATGTTCAAGCAAAACTAACAAAATGTTAGCAGTTTAAGCACGGACTCATTTTTTCATAAACGAAACAAAAATTGTTGTCGTATACTTCGAAGGTTCTTCGCCTCTTTGAATATGAAAACTGAAACTTTCATCAACCACAGGATCACCTACAACGATCCAAAGAAAGTAGAAAACCATGGATAATTAAGGTCGTAGAACAAAAGTCAAATCTTTACTCAAACAGTTGCTTCATATGAAATCGTATAGAGATCTAAACATTTTAACGAATACGTAATCATCTACGACTATCCAAAGATTTACATTCTACAAACTAGTACGGATCCGAAACATGTTCATACATCTGATTTATAATCGATTTACACACATCTCAGACTTGTGGATTTCTATAATGATGTTAGACATACGACAATGTTTTCGGATTTTTTCGGATGATCATCATTATTCAAGGGGTGTTCGTGCTTTCTTTGGGTAGTTGTTCGTGATCGTATGGTTAATAAGAGCTCTTGAAACTGTAAATAAACAAGCGTCAACCTTAAAGAATTCATCACCTGGTTCACTAGATAGAAATTCGTCATTGTCAGATTCAATTTGTACATGACTGCACCAACGTAATGCGTGCAGAGTTATATATTGTTGTACATGCGAAATATAATCATTTAAATTGTTTGTATATTTTGATACAAGACGTACAAATTTTGCTTGTGCATCAATAGATAAATTAGTTAAAATTGAGTAAAATAAACGAGCAATATCAAAAAGAAAACATGGATCAGAAAGATATGGTAATTGAAATATAATAAAGAATAAATTAAAAAAATTTGCATCACTTTCAAGTTCATGTTGTTTGGATTTTAGTTCATATTGTAATTGATTTAATAATATATCTAATGATTTATGAATTGTTAAAGAAATATGATCTTCATAAGAACATAATAATTTTATTGAACGTTTCATAGCATCAATATCTAATGTTATTTCATCATTATCAAGTGTTATTCGAGGATCATGTACGAAAAAACCTAAAATTCATTTTAAAGAAAATAGATTATTTTAAAAAGAATAAATGAATAGTTTACTTTTTGGTGTAGCACTTGCTGTTGATAAAAATTCTTTATTCATTAAAATATTATTTGAAAAATCTTCTTTTAGAAAATTATTTAATAAATTTAATCGATTTGAAAAAATATCTTCTATTGATTTATTTAATAAATTCCAATTATTTATGTTTTTACAATAATTAATCAATTCTTGAAGACTATTTTCTGACAAATTATTTATTTTAATTTTTTCTTCATGTAATTTTATCATATTTTCATCCACACATAATAGTACATGTTCCAAACTAAGTCGAATAGCCTCAGCAGCTACTTTATTGCGATCGTCTAAAATTGTTGTATCGTATTTAAATGATGAACTTGATCGACAATGAATGTTTGAACATTGAGCATTTCCTATTGATTAAACAAAAGAATCTTAATGAAAACTGAATTGAATTAAATCTTTTGGTTTATATACCACAACCATGAATTAATTGATGAAAATAACGATGAATAATTTTTCCTGCTAGATAAAGGAAAATATTTCATGGAGCAAAAAAAAAAACATTAATTTTCAAATCTATACCGGCTGACATTGAATTTCTTTGAATATGTATAGATCTTAATACTATTTGCTTTCTAGAAAAATATGAAACTTTTATTTTGGAAAAATATTCTATCCAATAATTATTTGTTATTAAATCTCAGTTATTGTTTTGTCAAATACTTCCTCAGATTTATACTACAGAGATATTTTAAGTATTTGTTTGCCACTATTTTACCACAGCTACGAAGTATATATGCCAATAGAACGTGGATGAAGCTAGGAAGAAAAAAATGTTAAGGAAAAATTCTGCAGAGGGCGTTTGTACATTTATTTATTGTGTTGAAAAAAAGCGGGAATAGATGTTTTAATTAATCATTAAACAATGAATACAGCTAAAAATGTGAGTCTTATAGTTAATTATCTTTTTAATATATTACATAGAATAATTATAGAAACCAGCTCGTCAATTTAATATTGATGATGATCAAAAGACAATGGCTGATTTTGTTACTGAATTTACTAGTAGGTTGAGAAATACAATTAATATATGTGAGAGATAATATGAACTTAAGTTTATTGTAATTTACTAAGCTTATCTAGAGGTTTCTTTGCTTTTGATTTTTTTTAGACAACAATAGATTGTAGTGATAAAAGTTTATATCATTTTTGTAAGTCATGATCAAATAGAATGACATTAATAAAATATTTGTATAGATTAATTGATATCAATTAGAATTTCTCTAGAGTTGTGTGTTCATGTTGGTATTCAAATCAGAACTAGTTAATTTTATTTAATTTATTTTATAGCATATGAAGCATTTCTCGATAGTCAAATATCAGAAATCGATCAAAATTATTTACAGGCAAGATTTATTTTTAATGAAAAAAAACATAACAAAAGTTAATCGTCTTCTGTTTTTTGTTTCAATGTTAAGGATAGTGATATAGCACGTGAATTTGTTGAATTAGGCTATCGAGGTATTGGTCATGCTATATCTCGAAAAGATTTTCAAGAACGTAAACATCGTGCTGAACTTATTCTTCAATCTCGTCGACAAGGTCCAATACCAACAATAAGTGATTCATTAACTGTTACTGAACCATTTGCTAAAGCACTTGCTTCCCGTGAAGAAGCCAATCGAACAACACGTTTATTAACAATCATATTTATACGTGATCGAAATAATATCGGTCATGAAATATCAGCATATATTGACTATGCATATCGATTAAAACTTGAAGATTTTACACAATTTTTTATTGGACAAAATAAACTTATACCATTAACGACAGATTTAAGTTATTATAATTGGGATACACATATGTGTACATCGAATGATACGAATAATTTTCATTTATTACCTGATGTTAATGGAATACGATTTCGATGTGAACATGATAGAAAAATTGTTTATGTTGATCCAGAATCAAAACATTATGGAGATGGAACAACACGAACAAGTATAAATACAATGGGATACTTACAAATTATTCTCTATGTAAATGTTAAATTTTTTTTCTTTTTTTTCTGAAATACTTAGAAAATTATTAATTTGTCTTTTCGAAACAAATAATAATATACATATTAATCCTTTAGAAGCCGGGCCGATATGTTTGATTAAAGCAAGAAGTCTTTCAATATACTAAAAGTGGAATTTTTAATATAGATTTTATATCAATATACATATTAACACATAAAGACGTTATGGAATAGTCTTGATATGGTATACATCTGTTAAACTCAGTTTAGTTCGTCATCGTTTATTGCATATTTGCTGTATAAGGTCAATATCGGAAAGAAATTTAAATTTGTAGATTATTGATTGCAATTTATGCGTAAAACCTAGAAAGCTTATAGTGCTCTAAAATCTACAATCGATCATATTGCAATGACCTTCCAATCAAACGAGACACTTTCCATCTCGTGTGTATCTCAAATAACAAATAGAAAAAAAAAATTATTCAAAAAATTTTTGGTGTATTACACACGCTAGTCGAAGATTTAGAAAAAAGGACTGATTCACTCTATATATGTAAATATTGTAATGTAGATCTTTTCATTGTTGGTTGTTTCGACGAATTTCATAGTTTATTAAGCTTTTAGTATTTTTTTCTGAATTAACTTTCCTTTTCATATATTATTGAATTGTTCTTTGTTATACTTCTTGGACAAAAATAGTTGTTATCCATTAAATACTATTATTCTTAATGACATTAAACTGATATTTAAGTTACATGCATGTAATAATAAAGCATGATGACAAAACAGTAATGTCGCTTGATGAGTTTACATGTACCATGGTTATGATTCAAATATTATCGTCCACTCGTGAAAAATATATTCCAGGGAAATATGCACTCAGAAAGTTGTTGTTTTGTTATTTCACAATCTACTACTATTTTTTCTAGCGCTAAAGGCTATCTCATATGGCTACTGCATTATTATCATAAACTATGACAATTGGTGAACATCTTAATAATTAGCATGCTCTGCAATTGTGAACCTTTTTAGCGGTGCTAACTTGACTTTATTTGATGTTGCAGTTTTAAAACTTTCATAAATGACTCATCACCTCATGGAAAAGATCTATCTTACCAAAAAAAAACAAGCAGTATTTGTTTTTCCACATATATTCTTAATGAAAAAGACAATATCTTAGTTATTTTAATGTATTTGCTAACGAATTTTGAATTGAAATTAGTTAATGTATCGACCACTCGAATGAAAAGTTGGATGAAAATATTTCTATTAACATGATTCAGCTTAAGGTAATCACAAAAGAAAAGTGATGTGTAAATCTTAGTTCCAGTAATACCTGTGAACCAATGCAGAATGGATTGATTTTTGCGATTAGATTGTATGGTCCCATTCTTGTGCTCAAAATATCAGCTTGACATCAAAAGGAATAGTAGTTCTTCATCAAGGAAAGTTACTTTTATCCAGGACTGTATAATTGATTTCATAGATGAAAAATCCAACTTTTTTTCTGTCAAAAAAAAACGGCCGGTTCTCTCAAAGAATTAAACCATTCTTTGAACTCTACTGTTTTTTTTTTCTATTTCAGGATCATTATTTACGTCGAAAGAAATTTTAAACCAAAAAAACATCAATAATCTTTATTGTTTTGTTCACATTTTCAGTATGTGATCGGATGGTCATATATTTTCTTTTTATGTCTGATATAAGCAACCGGTTGACTCACACAGTAACTATACAAAAAACAAAAGAACACACATACTCATTAATAGCAAAAACAAGAGAAAAAGAACAGAGCAAATACAATTGATGACATATATAACAAACCACAACAAAAAGAAGAAACAAAATGAAATAGATCAGATATGATGAATATTTCAAAAACATGTTATGTCTTTATACATGTTAATTGAATAATTTTGTATACAACACACAAAGACAAACAAAACAAAATGAAGAAATATCATTTTAATTTTTTTGTTTACTTTCAGCACGATATGCATCAAGCTCAGCATCAAGATCGTCAGCTGTAATTTCTTCTTTCTTTCTACTAGTACCATTTTGTTGTTGTTTACCACCACGTGTTCGATTTCCGCCAACATAATTTTGTTGATTAGTATTACGAATACCAGACCGTTGTGTTCTATTATTACCTACATTAGCTAATGAAAAACGACTTAATCGTGATTTAGATCCATCGTCGACACTACCGACAAGTTTGATGTCCATTGGACGACCTAATCATAAAACAAAATAACCTCAAAATTCATTTGTGACTTTTTTTTTGTTTTCAATAGTATACCATCAAGATTAAGGGAATTATATTTTTGTTGAGCAGTAATACCATCTGCACGACGTTCATAGACAACTTCAGCTGTGCCTAAAGATCGGCCACTTTCATCAAAATGTACACGAGCTGCACGTACAGCTCCTATATCTTCAAATAATTCCTTGAAAAAAAAAACAATGAAGAAACATATTCTTTTTTAAATTGCAATAGAATAATAAAAAAAATTCTTACTTTAATATCATTTGTAGTTACACCAAAATCAAGATTTGAAATAAGCAATTTCGTTGTACTATTCACACCAGTATTTCTTGGTATTTCTCGATTTCGATTTGTATTATCATCATAAAGGTCATGTTTCCAACGACCTATTGCTGATGGATTTGATGTTCGAGGCTAAACAAAAACATATAAAATAAATTAAAAAAGAAGAAAGAAAAACTTACTATTCCACCACCACCACGAGCTCGAAATCCATTAGCACCTCCTCGACCAGTACGTCCTTGAAATGCTCGATTTCCACCACCACGACCACCACCACCACCACCACCACGTCGATTTGTTGTACGATCTAATCGAATGATATCGTCAAGTCCAAGACCAAGTTTATCCGAAGCGGCCATTTCAATATATTATTATTAGTATTAAATACGATAATAAAATGGCGTTAATCTAAAAACTTCATTCAGTTTTTTTTTGTATGGTACATTTCGCTGTTGATATAAATTTATTTTCAACTGGATTAAAATCACAAGTTTAATAAGAACAATCCGGATGTATTTGTGTTTCTTTATTTTTTTGCCTGTAAGAAGATAGACTCCGTCTGAACATAGACATTCGGCATATTCGTCGAACGAATAAGCGAATTATATACACAACACGATACTATTCATATTCTTGGTATTTTCTGTTTATTTATGCGTCATTTCCTAAATTTTCATACTTGTCATACAAATGAGAACAACTCGAGATGTTAATTATAAACAAAAGTAAAGAAATCATAATGCCAAAAGAGAAGAAAAAAATAAATATTGATGTGTAAATTGTCGTCTTTATAAAAAAAAAAAAAACAACAACGAAATAATGTGTATCTATATATATATGATGCTTTACTAACCATATTGAATATAGACGTAAATTGACCTTTATTGTTTTATTTTAGACGAATAAGAATTGATTTGAGAAATGAGAAAAATAACATTGAGAAATTGATTTAAAAATGTTTCTTTTATTATTAGAAGAAAAAGATTTTTTTTTGAAATAAAATATCGAAATTATACAAAAAAATGAACATTTTGTTTCTGATTGGTTGATCAGAAATGTCACTTGAAATACGCAGAGAGTTACCTAAGGTTACTTTTTATGTCATTGCTCTGATGTGGCTAAAGTACATTATATTTCATTGATATTGCGACAGTCACTTGTTGTTTTTATGTAAATATTTCTTGTGTCTGTATGAAACATGTGATTTGTTGTTTGTAAATAAACTGTGTCTTGATAAAAGATTAGAATAACTTGAAAAATAAAGTTATCACGAATTTGAGTTTATTATTGAAAACAGAAATATTACTAGATGTTAAATTAGTTTCAATATAACTTAAAAGTAATAAAACTTTACTTGATTAATATAATGAGTTTCATTACTTAATTAATAAGTTTAATCAAATATTTAAATCATTTACAAATAATGAATTCGATTTTGGAAAATATTTATTGATAAAATAAGTGTGTTAAATATTTTTTGATGAATGAAATTATTTTATTTTAAGTTTAAATCATTTTCTATTTGTTTATTAATTACTTATTTAGTAATTATTAACAGTAAACACATATTCATCAAATAATATTTATAATTAAACAATACTACAGAAAATCTTATTCATTTTTTTTTTTATGCACTATACATTGATAGATATATTTCAGTTGTTGATATCAATGAATGTTCGATCTTTATGGATCATCAGTTGAATTTTGTTTTATTTTGTGTACATAACATATATGATATAAGTATTTTGAATTATGGGCTCTTGAATTTTTATTGTTTGTTTTAATTTTAAAAAAATATTTCTGAATTAGACTTGTTGAAACATCGACTAAAGAATATCAAACTTGGCTTATATGATATAATCATTAATAATAGTTTTATATTGACGAATATGTCAAAATCTAATAGTATGAAGAAGATATGTATAAAATTAATATCTTCGCTACCTATCGAATATGAAAACAATAAAAATAATCAATAATGCTTTAAGTGTTTCATTTCATTTTATCATGTTTATGTGAATAAAAACAATATATACGCTTTATAAATGTACTTCTATTGTTATCCTAATTTTGAATATGTTTAAAATGAAACTAATTATATGTATAATGAAGTGTTTCTTTTGTTCAAAGAATTAAGGTAATATTTGGTATTTAATTTTAGTTTTAGACTATTTAAGTTAACAATGGATTTTACCGATTATTTAATATATGCAAAATCACAGCTGGTAGGACATAAATTTTATATGTGTCTCTATGTAGTTTGATCAAGATTTTTTTATTCATAACATATCGATATGTATACTTAATCGATATGGCATGAAAAGAAATTTTGATCGATTGTTATCTAAAAATAAATTCTTAGCATGATTTTTCTTTGTACATATAAGGCCAATTTGGTGCAATTTCGTCTCATTCGTATTGTTTTGGGTAATGAAGCTTGTGATCTTGATTCAGCTATAAGTGCATGTGTCTATGCATATTTTCTTCATAGTGTACGTTAATGAAAATGAACAAATCAGTTTTGGTTTTGTTTATTGTTCGATTTTTTTTTGTTTTTTTTTACAATCTTAGACATGTCAATCACAAGATGAAATTCTTCATATACCTATATTAAATACACAACCATCAATATTTCGTTTGCGTACTGAAATACATTGGTTTTTAAAAGAAAATCAATCGAATATGATTTTTATTGATGATATTAATTTAAATGATTTATACGATAGAAATAAACTTGAAATAATTCTTGTTGATCATCATTGTTTATATTCAAAATTCAATAAAATCGTAACACAAATAATTGATCATCATCCTCGAAAAGAAAATTCAATTGTATTAAAAGAGTATAATCAATAGATTTCTTTTTCTGTTTATTTTCTTGTATATGTTTTATATTTTTCTCTTCTAGTCCATCAAAAATTAAAATTGAACTTGTTGGTTCATGTTGTACATTAATAGCTGAAGAAATCCTCACATCTAATACAAATTTTCAAATGACTGATGAAATCGCTTATTTGTTAACTGGTAAGCAAATAGGAAACGAAAAAAAGAAAAACAAAAAAAAACAAGAAGATAAAAATGTGATAAAAAATATTATCATTGATTCATTCAAGGACCTATTCTATTCGACACACTCAATTTTTCACCAAGCGCTGGTAAGGCAACAGAAAAAGATAAGCAAATATACGAACAACTTTTAACTTACCGAACTTACATTGTTGACGATTCAAAATTATATAAAGATTTGAGACAGAAAGCTGCTGCTACAACAGGTTATTAATTGAACACTTTTTATCGTTTTTTTCTGCCTTATGAAATATACCTATTCATTTATTGATTATTAGGAATGTCTATTCAAGATTCATTACAAAAAGATGTTAAGCAGGTCATTGGACCTAATATTCGTCTTGCTATTTCTAGTCTACCATCAGGATATACAGTTGAAGTAAAATGAAATATTTAATTTTGTTTCTTTTGTTGAATTATTATTATTTTTTTTTTTTTTTGATAGAAACTTATCGGACAATTAAAAACAATGAAAGATATAGATGAATTTTTATCTAATAATGATAATGCGGATGGTGTAATTATGCTTTCACTTGAAACAAATAATGACGAAATAACACGTCAATTAGGTTTTTATGTTAAAAAATATGAACATATGCCTCCAATAAATGAATATATACAACGTGACGAACATAATCTTAATTTACGTGAACGTGGTATACCAATAAATCAAGCACGTATTAAATTATTTGAACAAAGAAATGTTCAAGCATCTCGCAAACAAATTTTACCATTAATTGAACAATTTGCAAAAGATTTTGTACCACACAATTCATCCTAAAACAATTTATTTTTCAAATTCTATTCAAGACATTGTATCAGTTTTTTCTTTCTTTTCTTCATTATCATTATCATCAATTGGATTGATTTCACCACGCTTAAATTGATCAGCTATTGATTTTGCATATGTTGCATTAAATAAATCACGTGCTAAAAATTGATCTTGTTTGATTTCTGTTACATCATATGATACATATGGTTTTAACTAAAGAAATATTTTTATAAGACAAAAAAAGCAAACAATAAAATTATATTTCTTTAAAAATTTACTTTAAAATCAGTTAAATCAGGTACAACTAATTCAGGTTCCATTTCTTCAACATAAACAAATTTACCAGTTTGATGATCAAAATAACCAGGCATTTGTACACCACGATCTATAATTAGAAATATTAAAAGATGATAAATCATCGAAAACATCTTTCTAATTCTAATAAATGAAAACCAATTAATAATAATAAGAAATGCATATCTGATATCTTTTCTTCGAAAAAATCGTATTGACAATGTTTAAATCTGATCTGGCACCGTTCAAGCCATAGAATGATTATTATTAAATCATTGTAAGTTATATATATTACTGATATGTGATATTTCAGTGAAATATGAAATGAATATCGAATGCAGCATAGAAATAATAAACTCATATTCCTAGCATTACTCACCTTTGATCAAGTTATGGGTCAGTCGTTATCTTATCTTTGATATTTACATTTACTTTTTTTGTCAAATATTGAGAATTATTCTATGAATTGATTGTTAGTTTTTTCAAAAGACTTATCCATATTCAACTATTGATAATCTTATTGTAGATCTTACAATGATGAACCGATGAATTAGTCAGTGGCAACGACTGGAAGTTTTTGATGAATTTTTAAAAAATTTTCTTTCTTTTAGAAGATTTTGAAATGGAAAAAGATAGAAAATTGACTGATAATTCAAAAATCAAATATATATCTTTGTGCTATGGCAACAGTGACTCAGCCGATTGGCTTAACACTTCTAGTGGCAAATATTTGTGAAGAACAAAATCGAAATTCTTCTTGTATACTTTACTATTTATTTTATATAATTGTTCTGAATATCATAATTTTTCAACTATTCTAGAAACCTATTTTCTTTAATCGTAAAACTACATCAATCGAGAAAATCTCTAATTAATTAACTTACGAGCCATATACATAGCATGCCAAAGTTTATGACCACCTGGTTTATGTTCACTAGCCATTTTTGTTGTTAATTGTAATCGACTATCAAATGAAAATTTTGACATGTTAATAAACGATAAAAAAGTAAACTTATAATATTTACCTCCAAACAGGTACTCGATCTCTATGTGGAACTGGATTAGCACTATCATATTTTTGATATGGAAAAAATTGATATGTTGGATGTTTAATACGTCTTCGAAAATGAATAGATGAAAGAGTAAATGTACGTTGAATATTAATAGTATGATTACTATTCAATAAACTTTTCAATAATAAATCTTTTGATATAAACATTTTAATAATAATATTTTTTTTTCTTAAAAAAGCAAAAGAAAACAATTCACAAAAAAATTTTTCTTTTCTGTCATCGTATCTTAATTCAATAATAATAATAATAATAATAGATAAAGAACAAAGAAAATCATTTACAATAAATAAAATAAATATAGAAAAAGAAAAGAAAAATGTATGCAATAAAATACACTTTCATTCTATCTAGGCGATGTAACTGTTGGAGACGATGGAGACGGTATTGCATTCGATGTTGTCATGTCGTCAGGTAATTGACTTGTTATCCAAGTTAAACCTTAAATGAACAAACTTTTTACATCACGAAGAAGTATTACGAATATAATTTACCCCATTTTAAATTAGTTAGCATATATTTTAATGCTTTTGTCCACTCTTCTTGTTTACTTACTTGATAGCTAATCAAAATATTACAATAATAATAATAATATTTAATCTTATGAAATAATGAGCATCCTTCATTTGAAAAATCACCTATATTGCTTTGGAGGGCAGCTCGTGATGTATCAAATGTTGTCAAGAAAATCACTTTTTCGTCAAGTATTTGTGCTCCGAGAAGTTATATACAAGTTAATGAATACTATAGCAATTACTTGTAATATAACCAAATATTAGCACGCAATCCATCTCCGAACCAATATTTATCAAATTTTATCTAAAGTTACTTCAATTTAGCTTCACACAACAGTTTTCTTAGTACCTAAAACCCTAGCGTTTTCCTCAGTTTTTGGCTTTGATGCTGTTTTAAATTCTTCGATACTGATCCTTGAAGACAAACACAACTAAGTGTGCGGTTTTCTGACAAAATATATCTCACGAAGATCTATAAGTATAGCAAATGATTGTCCTCTGAATTGATATGCATCATGGTCTAATCGGTCTATCAATGTCTAAAAGAGGCCCGATTTTCGATTTTTTAAGGAGAGAAAACTATTTGAGTTTTACGATAAACAGTTTTTGAGTGAAAGCGTTTTTATCTAATAATAATAATTTTGTGATGCTCTCTCATTTGACATATATGGATCTTTCGAAAATGTAAAAGAAATTTTCGTTTTCGGACCTTGGAGAAAAGTACGACGATGTACAAAGTTTTTGATTCTTATAAGAGACCGAACACATATTGAATCTAATAGAGCTTAACGCTTTAATCACACCAAGCAACTGAGATTCTAAATCTGTCATGAACAAAATAAAATAAAAACTAATCTTTGTAATAGTCCTTTCCTGTACTCCTTCCAAATATCCGAAAGTGAATTTTTTTTCCACCTTTCAAAGATCAATCTATGTCAAATGATACAAGATGAGAACTTAATATTATTAGATAGAAAACTTTCCACTCAAAAAGTATCTATCCGAAAACTCATATAGTTTTCTATCCTTAAAAAAATCGAGAAAATGACTTTCTTTGGGCATTGACTGGCCTATTGTACCATGACGCATATCTATCAAGAGGATAATCAATTGCTAATTGATAGAGCTGTGAGGTATACAGTTTTGTGAGTAAATTACATTGTTGGTCCCCTTTGCTCTCAAGAGCAGTATCGAAGAAACTTAACACATCATGAAGGTCCAACACTACAAAAGCTAGGAAAACTGATACGGTTTTGGTCACGAAGAAAGCTATTCTGAGTATTATTCGACACATACGATTCGATCAAAGTTGGTTTAAAGATATACTGAGTCCTAATATTTGGTTATATTACAAATAATTGATATAGTATTCATTAATTTGTATATAGCGTCTAAAAGCATAAAGATTTGACGAAAAAGTGATTTTCTTTACAACACTCGATTCCTTACGAATTCTCCAAATAACAGTATAGGTGACTTTTTCAATGAAGGGTGTTTATCTTATCCGATAGACTTCTTTATGTACATGACATGAAATTGATGTCCATTACTATCAGTAATAACACCTTTCTGTTTTTCATTCATTTTATATGGCAAACAAAAACGTTGATTTTTTGATTCAATTGCTAATTTAAACTAGATAAAAAGACATGAAATTATTGATTATAATTGAAAAGAAAATCCTTTTTTTTAATACTTGATTAACACAATCAAGAAATGCAATCAATGCTTTATCAAATCTAAATTTTAAAAAAACCAAAATATTGATATGAATATTAGAAAACAAAACAAAACTTACGGAGTATCCCATGTAAGACGTCGTCGACCTGTATAAAGTGGTAATTGTACAAATTTTCCATTTTTACTTTCATTTAAATCTTCTATATAAGAATGACTTCCTAATGGAATAATTTTATATCTATTTATATACATAACAATATTTCAAATAGATTAATAAAATAATTTTTACTTGGCAAATTGAAGATCGACTCGTTTAGCTAATGCATTAAGTAATAAAGCAGCTTGACCAAGAGCAGCATTGATTTCTGACCATTCGACCTATTTCATTTAAATATAAAATGAAAGACATGAAAATATTTGAAAAAAAAAATGTTGTACATTAATGCTTGGTAAACGACCTAGTCGAAAACCATTTATTGTACCGAAATGTTCTTGATGCCTATTTATTTGAATAGGAAAAATAATAATAATTAAAGAACAAATAAATATCTTTCTAATAGACCATATATGAAATGCAGCATTGAAAGCATTTGTTTTACTCAATTTTTCATATTGAGCACGAGCATGTTTTGTTTGATTATCAATGCTAAAGAAAAATTCAAATAATTGTATGAACATTCTTCTTTTTTTTTTCATGTTTACCTTTTCTGTTCATCTTCAGCTTCGAATAATAAACGTTTTTGTTCATTATAATCACGTAAATATCTTAAAGAGAAAGAAATACAAGTTAATCATTAATTATTGAGTATGTAAGAAAATTATCACCGAAGAATTTTCTGGAAGCGTTCATGAAAAAGAACACTACCGATAATATTGAAATTAGAAAAAGAATAATTAGTGGGTTGACAAACAAATATCTTTAAATGTTCAACATTGTTTAACGCACTTTTTAGTCGTAAGGACATCTTAATAAAATGGAGAAAAACTGAAGAGAATTCATTTCCTTGGACTTTTGTTGACGAAATATCGAATGTTTTCAAGCAATATTTCCAGTAAAATCGTACTTTTGGATTTTCAAGCTACAATTTGCTTTTATAATTTAAAACATTTATATTTCAGATTAAAACTCAAAAATATTGAGTTCTATGGAGAAGATTCATTTTAAAAATTCGATATTTCACAAACAAACCATCTGAGGAAGCAAGTCTTTGTTGGAATCAAAATGGCTTGAATATTTGGATATGTTTACTGCTTGAATTTCACCAGAAAAGAATTTTCTAATATTGAAAAGTCTGCACAAGACAAAGGTTTGAACCGCATTTGCACACTACTGAAAAGAATATAAACTGAACAAAAGATCTTAGACTTTAGTTCAACTATCACAATGATTGCATCAACTCTAGAACTCGTCGAATTGTTTCGAATGTGAAAATTGTGGACTCAACGACCTTTACTCATCTAATAAATGTCTAGGTTGCGTTAGTTACCAAATACAAAAAAATGGAAAAAATTCTTGCATCTTCGACGAACGATCATTCAGTTCCAATTACTGAATTTCATTGAAAGTATCCAAGTACGATTCGACCGAGTCCGAGTCCAAAATATTTGGACCCAACAAGCACTAGTCAATCCCGACGAAAATATTAATACAAATGATTGTATGATGAACGTGCAATGATTATCGATTTATTTTATACCACTAATCACCGTATTGATGACGGTATTTAAATAAAATTTAAAAACAAGTTGATCATTCGATCAACATCGTCGATGTATGTCTGTCCCTTGTTTACTCTGTAGATAAATTATTTATTCGTTTAGGTTAAATAGAAATAATCAATTTGTATATGGATTAGAAAAAGTGGTACCATTGAAACAATTGAAATATTTCACATATATATGTATATTCACCTGATTTCTTCTTGTTCTAATGATTGTTCTTCTTTTGTTAATTGTTCAGATTCATTTTGTAGTCGTTCATTTTCTTGTTCCAATTTCAATAATTCATTTTTTATTCGTTCTTCTTCTTTATCTAACTATAATATAAAAAAAACAAGATAATCAAATAATTTTCTATTTTAAATTGTACTCGTTTTCTTTTGCTTACTTCAATTAATTCTTGTTTTAATTTTTCATAATTTTCTTGTTGACCATTCGCTGATAAATTAAGCTGTTCAAGTAATTTTCTACAAAACAAAAAACAAGAAATTAATGTTTTCGAAAAAAAATTCTTTTCTCTATTTTTATTTTTACTTATAACTTGTTAATTCATGTGTTGCCATTTGTAAATCAACATCAAGTTTATCCAAAAGTGTATCTGTACATTCCTAATTTTATTGATGAACAAAAAAAAATGAATAAAAATTTATGATTTTTCAAAATTCTTCATACTTGACATAGTGGATGGTCGAATGTATATTGTTCAGAAAGAAAATCATATAATCTTTCATGTATCTATCATTTAGAAAAAAAAACAAAAAAAAAAGATGATTTCAATTTAAAAAGAAAAAAGTCTTATTACATTAATATCAATGCGATATTCACGCATAGATTTTTGTTCTATATCTTTATTTAAATCATGAGCAACAAATGCAAAACCATTTGTACTATCAAGACTACTCTGTGATCTAGCAATATAAAAAAAAAAAGAATTTTATATATATTTTTAATTATATCGAACATACAATCGTTTTCGACCTAATGTTTTACGAATGACAATAGTACCATCGGACTAAAATAAATATATAAATATACAAAAAGACTATCTTTAAGATTGTACATACACCGCCTTGTTGTAATTCATTATAAGATTCATCACAAATTGTTGCACTAGATGCTTAAATGAAGAAAACATAATATTGAAAATTGAAAAAATTCATGTTTATTTTTTTTTATTACCAATTGGTTTAATCATTTGTTCATCGATTGTGTCTAATGACGAATCTTGTTGAAGAAAACCACCACATACTTGACAAACAAATTGTGGTAAAGGAGATTTGGGAGCATTCGTCGTCATTTTAATCTAAAATGAACTTTTTTTTTTTATGTTTAAACTTCGAATGCAATTCATACATATGCAAGTTACCTATGTGCCGTACCGCGTGCTTGCTTGCTTGTTGTCTTTTCGTCTAACTCATGTATGACTCATGCACGATTTATGATTGGTTATTTGAAAAACAATTTTGATAGCATATGAGACCTCTGTATTTCTTATCAATTATTACACAAATGATTTCGATAAAAGAGAAATTACATTAATGATTTTGTTTTCAAACATCGACTTAATAAGATTTTAATAGACTTACGATAAATGACTATTGTTGTGCAATATACAAATGCTTTCTATTTTAATTATAAAACCATCATTTGATGATGCAATATGATAATGACAATAATTGTTTTAACAGTTACAGCCAACATTAAAAGAAAAGATTGTGTCACTATGTTTTCGACAGGGTGTAAATTTTTTTTCAAGAGAACATAAGAAAAATGTTCGGTTGTACAGGGAAAAACAATAATTTTTCATGATTGAATGGTCGAAAGTTGTCACACATTCACACTCTTCACCTGGCTGAATCACTTCTGATAACATCTTTCTCATTCTAAGAGTTCATACATGAGAATCCAATTGATCAAACAATCGTACAGATGAAAAAATATTACTATGTAAAAGTATTAATAATGATAATATAAATACTATTGTGATGGCATGTAAATATCTGCTATGTAAAATTGTATTTGTTAATTTCTTTAATCAACTAAAAATCAAATCTATCTTGAATATTTTATACAAAATTCACTAGACAATATTTTATCAAGTCAGAAGGTAAACGATGAAAGATTAATTCGGAATTTTCTTCAATGAAGAACCACTATGTCAGAATAATTAACAGAGCATTATCAGTATTCATTAATATTTCTGTCTCTATGTCACTTTCCCAATTCACACAAAATATTCAAATGTGACTATAAATTAAAAATACAGTTACATATAGAAATCGATTCAATAATTGATTCTTGAACAGTTCTCTTCAAACGACTCAAATATGTTTATTTAAATTAAAGCATATTATCTGAATAATAATCGTTCACTGATATAATATTTCTCAAAATGCTGTGCAAGAACGTTGTTTTTTTCAACGCGTTTACTTATTTAAATTTAAAATGCAATCGCTGATAACCAATAGTATCTATTTTTCTATTCTTGTTCTAATATTTTTGCAAAACTTGGTGTAAATTGACAGATAAAACAGGCAATGTCTCAATATGAAATTGAATAAACTCAATCACTTTTGATGGCTATTCAAATTTTGAGAAATACAAAAAAAAAAGAATAACCAACAGTCTAAAGTGGCACTAGCGTAGATGTTTGTTCTTATTTTAATGTTTAAGATTATCTTTTTCTGATGAGTTTAGCATTTCATTAAATTTTATGAGTTCCTACTATAGTTTTTCGCCTTAATTTAAAATAAGAATAAAAATCAAATTAAACATTGCTATTAATATCAAGCAATCAAGTATTTATTTTAAATTAATTAATTAACTAGAAATTTTTTGTAATTCATATTTCCAAATTCAATAATATTTCTCGAACAATACATTTTTAAATGGAATTATATATGAGTCAGCTCAGGACTTCATAATTCTTATATGCACAAATATTCATAATCTAATCTATAATTTTGTTGATAAAATTCTAAAACAACGTTTCAAATAAATAAATACATGGTAATAACCTTGATGACAATACCAAATCATTTTTAATAAAGACAACATCAACAGAATCATAAAAAGACAATAACAAAAGAAAAAACTTAATCATACAGAATAAAAGTCATTTAAAAAAATCTAATTTTAAAATAAAGTCATTTGAACTTTTATTCTTATAAGCCATCGGACGTAGGTGCATAACGATATCTTTGTCTTTTTGAATCTACATGTTTGTTCTGTATAGATAAATAATATTGTTGTAATTCATCAAAATTAATATTTTTACGTGAATCATTTATAGTTCCATTTTCTTTAGTATTTATTGATAAACTAGAAAAATAAAAAAAAAATTCAAATAATTGTGTGTAGGTTTTTTTTTCAGAATTAAAGTCTTACTTAACAATGCGTTTATCAACTGATGTAAATTTATCAATAAAATTCGGTACACATTCAAGACGTCTTCTTAATATATGAAATGCATCTGTTTTACCCGGTAATAACATTAATAAACCACATAATGCACGAATTAATGTTTGATTATTTTCTACATCAAGAAGTGCCAAGCGAAGATCTAAAAATATGAAATTAACGTTCACTAGAAAAAATTAAGGAAAACCTTGAATGTATGGTGAGGAACAAAATCAATTGCTTTCTATGAAGTACTTCTATTATTCATGAGATTCAGCTAATATTTTGAGTACATCCATGCAACAATTAATTCTTATTGTAAGCATTAGTCTGCCCTGCATCAGTTCACATATATTGAATCTATAATTCACCCATCATCTTCCCCTTATGCCGCAGACTTTGGTGAAAATAAAAACAACATACAAGACTGCCTGTAGCACAAGAAAAAGCAGTAGTAACTGATGGAATAGCAAAATGATAAACAAAAAACTTTTTAAATGTATTTTTCCTCTGAATATGCTTTTCATCAAAGGAAGATAATGTTTGAATCATAACTTCAGTACATGTGAACCGATCGATGTTTCTCTAATACTTGCGATAAGGATTTATAATCGTGTGCATGCATCCAAAGTATTACAGTTCAATGTCATGCAAAATAGTAGCAATTCATGGAAGGAGAGCTACTTTTGTTTAGGATTGTAAAAATAATTCTTTTTTTCTTACATGTAAAAATAGGTGATTCAAGTAGTTGAACAAGTTTGTCGATTTCAATTAAAAAATCAACAGTCACTTCAATTTCCGCACTATAAGAAAAAAAGAAAAATGCACCAATCTATTTAAATAAATATATATAAAATATAAATTAATAAATTATTTACAATAATTGAACAAGTGTACAAGCATGATCATAATTTTGTGATAAAAAACATAATGCAACTAATGCTATTGGATTATGACACCATGTTTTATAAAGACATACAAATAAATCAGCACTTTCTATTGTTTGTAAATTTTTTAATTTAACTCTTAAATCATATAATTCTGTTGAGGTTAATAATATTGAACTAAGAATTTTAACCATTATTGAAGCAAAATTAGTATCAGGTTCATTAGCTAATGTTTCAGATAATGTTTTATATATATCTTCGGGTGAAAGAAGCATACATAATTGCCTAAATAAAAACAAAACTACAACATAATCAAGGACTCTATGAATGTATTCTCATGACTTAACAATGATTCAATTATGTCTAATATTTTAATGATTTGGTTAATTAGATTCGAAATAGTATTAAAACAGTGAGTATTATAACGAATATATCAACGATTAAGATAATCAATAGAAGCAGTGTTTTATCAAGCGTGAGGGTCAAAAAGTGGTACCCCTCAGAAGATCGGTTTGACCCATGTGGAGTTTGTAGTTTTTGTAACACATATAGCAATGTACAGTTTCAATTTACTGACCACTAATGTCACACTGACTACATCGAAATCAATGTTTACTGCAGCACTCCACTACAATAAGAGCATATGTTGATGAAGTCAGTGTCTCTATATTACAGAGAATACGGGTGTCAAGGCTTTAAATGGACATCGATGCTTCAGTAGACCCTATGTCAGTGACTCACTGTTCAGTGTTTCAGTACTTACACCAACAATGTATATTCGTGACCATCTACTAAGTATTTGTACTTCAAAAACTAGATGTTCGCTTCTCAGGAAGAGAAGATCTGGATAAAACACTGAATAGAAGGTCAAATTATTAACTTTTTAGTAATATCATAACCTTTAATCAAATTCATACGAAGTAAAATGTAAAATTTGAAGACGCTACTGTTATTTGCAACGACAATATCTAAGAAAAAATCCTCAAAACTATCACATATATGAAAAAACGGTAATGTGAAACATGGTATCATCTATATAGAAAATAAGAAAACTATCTGTCATGTCGCTATGCATTCATTGCATATTCAATTTCGACAATATTCAGCATGATTCAACCTCTCTTAAAATGTAAAAATGATAATGTAAATGTATTTTACCATGTGCGCAAAGAGAACGAAAATTTTTACTATAGACTTTAAAATAGTGACTGACAAAAATATCATTTCAAAAAAAAAATAAAGCAAATCTTTGCATATGTGGATGCATTCTGGTCTCTATGATAGAGTAGATCTATCTTTCTCGTTGTAGGCTTAACTACTCATTAGTAATATTATTTCACAAAAAGAAAACATTTGAATTAGATATGAAGGCTAAAATCTAAACAAATGTATCATATCAGAATGCACAAAAAACGTTAAATATAATCTACAAACCGAATAATAAATGATCCACGAGCTTCTAAAAGCGGTCGATCTGTACGAAATAAATCCATAAGTACAATAATAAATTTTGTAAAATAATCATTATAATTTCTATCTGTATTTGTTCGATTTGATGTTGATATTAATGCAAAAACTTGTAAAACCAAAAGCACAGCCTTAAAAAAAACATATATGAACTTATTTCAGATTGTTTTTTATTTAAAAAAAAGAAAATTAAACTATAATTAAACGAGCGAGAATCATAAAAGCAGATCAATTGACAATATAATGTATGTGTATATCTATTTTCACCAAAATCCAATCCCATATGAAAACAAAAACAAGAGCGTATATGCAGAACAAGGCGTTTTGTTTTTTTAAATTCTTGTACATTTTCTTACTTCTGTCGTATATGGATGTTGCTGTTTATTAAACTTTTTTCGTAATAATAATGGTGAATATGTAGTAGTTACTGATGTTGGAGACTGCGTGCAAAGAAGGAGACAATTAGAATTTTTTGTGCTTTAGCAATTATGAAATTATATGATTTAAATGTAACTTTAAAATATGTGTGTTTATTTATTTATTTTTAATTCATGCGAATCATAGGGATTTATAGATTACCTTGGTAGGATAACTGCCCGTCTGGAAAAGAGCTTACTTAGATCATAGAAAATGGAATACAATTATTTTTTTAATATTTACCTCATCAGATGGATCGCTTAATACACGAAATAATGTTGGAAATAGAACATCGATATGTGAAGCCATCTATAAAATAGTAAAAGAGAAAATATTTATTGTTGTACAAAAGTATATTTTAAGGATTATAGTTAAAATATCCGCTGATTTGAGTATACAACTAAAACTAATAAAAAAAAAAACATTCAATAAATCATTATTCTTTTGAGTTTTCAGACTCGATCTGCTCGAAATTAATAATTCTTTGGTTGAAATATGATAGAGAAAAAAAAAGGTTTAAAAGTCAATTTAATTGTTCTTTTTTCATCTAAATCTCAAATAAGAGTTAAATCACATTAACACAATCCGTGTGATGCAAATTAAATTGAAACTGTCATTCTATGAATGTATACTGATGGTTATTTTCCGATCAGCAATCAATTGCAGATCTACCATTAGTACTTATAGATGCAGAGACAACACTAGAGATAGTGCGAATCAATTCATGGCATGGTGAGTTCTTATTTTTAGAAAATTCAAATGAAATGACAATGAGTAAAATTTCATCGAAATTTATTTCAGTTCTCGAGAAAATATACGTAAAAAAATTGATTTTAATATAGATAGTAGATAGAAATGAAATGTATATCTTTGGACTTAGGTTCAATCGGAAAATTCACTTTGTTACTATTAACTATTCTCAAAAGTTCCATTAAGTAACTAAAATGTTAGCAAGCTCACAATTATGTAAGTGAAGAAAAGGATAAAATTGATGCATGGGTGTTCGTATAACTCTTGTTGTCGTTCACACATGTTCCATTTTCAAATACTTTACAACCCGGCTAACTCTGAAAGGCTTGCATCGGTATTTATTAGGGTGTATCATTTATTGTATAATAATGTGATGAAATTGAAATTTCCTAGAAAAAAGAATTTTCCATATCCTCAGCATCTCTCCATCTATGTGGACTAACTTTTCTGTCATTTATGTCGATAATATCGATTTCTCAACAAATTACCTGATCTTGAAGACATTCAAATAGATGATGAACCCAACCTAATGCAATAATACGTGATGGTGAAGCACCCGATTGTATTTGAGTTTTAAGTACTTCGACCATTTTTGTTATAGTCAAATCTGGTAAACTAAAAAACAACAATATTCTATTGAATATAGATATTCATTTTCTTAAAATATTACTTATGAATAGCATTGATCTCATTGCTTTTTTTAGTACTTTCATTTTTAATTAATTGCCGTAAAATTGAATTAATCTCTTTGGCTGACTCTCGAATGTGTGTAGATGATGGTTAAGGAAAAATATGTAGCAAAAATAAAAAACAATTATGAAAGAAAGAACAAAAACAAAATCAACAAAAGAAAAGGATATTTTGACGGCTATCATCATCATATGAAAAACATGGAAGTACAGCTGATAATAATCCAGCTGAATGAGGTAAAAGTACTTGATGACATTTCGACATATTAAGAAATTCGCGTAGCCAATGTAATGCTGTATATTGAATTAAATCGTCTGAAAAAAAAATTAATCAATTATTCAAAGATAGATATTAGTAAAGAAGCTTTTTCTTTTTGTTTTCTCCTTTTTCTAAATGCGCACCCAGAAGATATTGTATAATCGTATTTTTCAAAGAAGAAGTAATTGTAAAATATCAACATAATTTCGATGTATTTCTATTAAAGCGTTAATGATTTATAAAGTAACGGATAACTATAGATAGAAAGAAAATATTTTGATTTTTTTTACCATCTGGTTTGATAGTTGTAAAAAGTGGTATGGATACTCCTATTGAATGTTTAACTCCATTTTATTAATCAATATTTTATTATTATTATTTTTTTTTACTATATTTTAATCGAATAAAACAAAATTCAAATTTAATTACCTGATGATTGGCTATTTTGTATTAAAATTCGAGTCATATCTTCAAACATATCTGGTTGAACTTGAGATGTTTTTAAAATAGATAAAAATTCACTAAATAATATCTCGCAACTTAAAAAAGAATTTAAATTAAAACAAATTTCTTTATTAATTAATAGAAAATATTACGATTTACGAATTTCTGGATTAGGATCACCTAAAATATGAAATAAACCATCCATAATTTCTGGTAAATATTGCACCATATCAAATTCTGGTACTGATGTAAGCAGAGATACCTTAATAAATAAAAATAAAAACAAAAATCAAATAGGAATATATTTCATAAGGTTTTTATTCATATTATCATACCCAAGAAACAATAAATTGTCGAGTAAATGCATTACGAACGTAAATTCGTTCACGCAAAAGTGGAATAAAAGCAATAACTTCAAATTGAGTGCATGTTTCAATTACAATATCTTTCAATAAACGATCACTAAAAAAAAACAGAAACGAATGGTCATCTCAATCAAATAAGTTTTCGAAGCTTGTGTTTCTCAATTTACAATATGATATTGCAACGATTCAAGCATGCTGACGAGGAAATCACGCGAATAGATACCAGTAGTTTCAAATCATATTGGGCCCACTAGGAAGTCTTGCTACAACCTAAAATAGTTTGTTGTCAAGGGTCTTTAAAGCTGAGTTATATTTGTTGCACTGAATTTCTGATCCAGCTGTGCGAATTAACTAAAAAATCAACTTTCGAAGTTTCGACTACAAGTAGATTTAATGATTCTTAGAATACTCTGAAATTTTCAGTGGAAAAAACTGTTCTTTTATTGAGATATTGAAGCCTCAAAGAAACTCTATTTTTATATCATGCCTATCGAAAGTGAATATTCTTTCAAAATTTGATATCTCAACAAAAGAACATTCTTCTCGGCTAAAACTTTCAAGATATTCTAAGATTCATTAGATCTGTCAATGGACATAATTTCACATCGAAAATCCATCAAAACGATCATAACTCAGCTGCGACAACTTCTAGAGACACACTCTTTTCGACTTTTGCTAATTCCACCATGCCATCATTGTAGATCCAATCTGAGCTCAAATGGTGAGTATCGATTTGGGTGGTTCTCTAATGCGATTTTACTAGTCATCTTGATCTGTTGTGATTATATTTTATCACACCAATGTATAAAATTTCCATTTTATTTCTTGTTCATGTTTGTATAATAAAATATGGTCATTTTTGCTTAAATCATAAGTAAATCATACTAACTAGTATTACTTGAGGCAGAATTTAATTCAAGGACATTAGATTCTCTCGTGGACATTATAAAATTTTCGATAACATACGAAAGCTATCATAAATTTAGAAGCAAATCCAATGAGTTTTTATTATCTCCGAACATTTATATTAATCTAAATCTGATTGTTATATTGATCACATTTTTCTAAAATAAAAGAAAATATTACCAAAGTTCAGCTCCACTTTTTACTGTTGGTTCAAGATCGCATACAAGCTAAGAATGAAGAAACAAAACTAAATATACTTTTACTTGTAATATAAATCTTACTTTCGAAAGGCAATCAAATATTTCATTAAAATAAGAAAGTGTTACTGTTCGAAGAACTTTTGCTATATTATACAATGATTCACATGCATAATATCGAACTTTTGGATCATTATCAAGAAAACATTGTAAAACAGGTGGTACAAGATATGATTTAAATCTTTGCGCTTCCTAATTAAAAAAAAAATTGTAAAAAAAAAAAGCAAAACCAAAAGAAAATATTCTGATACAACTTTGCCACATGCTATTGCTAATGCTGCAATACCTATTAAACCACCACGACGAAAGTTTCCATTTTGTGATAAAACAAATTGTTCACTGAGTATTTTACAAATTCGTTCAATTTGTTCATAATTTTGAACAGCTATTAATTCTCGTACCATTCTGAATATATATATATAATTACATGAATTAAATATTTTTTTCTTCTTACTTTTCAATCTCAAGTGCAGCTGTTTTACGTTTTTCATATAATTTATCAGTTAATGTTTTCACTAATGTAGCTGATAAAGGTAAATAATCTCGATCACTCATATTAATATTCTCGTTTTAATCTACAATATACAAAACAAATCAATCAAGTTAATCCATTTTACAGTCCTTTTTTTTTGTTGTTTTATTGAGTTACACACACAAACATATACCGAAAAGAAAAAAACAAAGAACGAAATCGAACAAATACGAGACAAAGAAAACAATTTTAAGCACATTTGTTTTCTTAATAATAAAATTGTCGAATTGGAGAAATTCTATTGTCTATTATCTCTCCAAAACAAAAAATCTACTTCTGACAAACAGCCCTGAACAAAAAAAAAAACAAATGATCAAACATAAACACTAATCTATTATAACGCGAGATTTTTTTTTTTATACAAATTAGAACATTTGCTTGGTTTATTTATTATTAATCATCGAACTATAGCTGTTTGTTGTTGTTTTGATTCAGTTATATTCTTTTTTAAAAGATGTGAATGCATGGTCATGACGTGTTGAGAAAAACGACTTCGTCCTTCAAGAATTTCACCACATATTTTACAACGCACTCGAACATGTTCATCATTAGTCGGAGACTAAAATAAAAAAAAATAAAAAATAAAATATTATTGAATATTATAATCGAAATTATATTATTCTGATCTGCCTTTGAAACATTCAATCAGCGATGAAAATCTCTAAAATCGAATTATTAAAATTCAACCAAAAGAATAATAATTTTATAAACTGTTGTACCCGATAGAACATTTTGAATACAGAATAGACTCAAAAATCTTTATTAGTTCTACTCCAGAAAGTTAAGAAGGGAGAGAGGATATTCAGAAAAAATTCCCAACTCCCGTGAAAATACGTGCACTTGAAGATATACACCTAGATTTGTTTTTATTTTATTTTGATTATCAAAAAGATGAATTTTCGATCTACTTCGTTCAAGAACATAATAACAGTGAAGCATCAGTGTGCACAAAAAGAAGAAATTACACTGTGGATTGATTAAATGTTTCTTAGACATATAAGTTTAGTTAATGAAAGTGAAGAAAACATGCTGCAATTTCTAATTTTTCTAACTCGAGTTTCTTTTATATAGTTCTTCTTCAACTATAACGAAGAAGTACAACCTTAAAATCGTCAGCAATGTAGGACCCAATATTTAGTCATCAGAAATCGAATATTTCTTCAAGAATGCTTTCTAAGTTTGCTTCCATTCGATCACGTCACTATTCGTCACCGAAGCCGGTGGATAATGTTGATGTTTGCATAAATCTATGAAACCAATGAAATAGAAATATCTGTTTGAGCCTATGTTAGCCTACGATACCTGAATTTAGGGTAGGCTTCATCCTACCCAGACCTCATGACTCCACCGTCTATGTAAATTTCCACCACACATGATTGAGATGTTGTTTTTGAGAAATACTTCCAAATACCGTAAAACATCATAGAATATTCACAACTAATGATTTTCTTCATTAGAACAAACATAACACGATCAATTCTTTTTTCAATTTCGTTATAGAACTTTTCTTGCTCGTCATTAGAGGATTGCGAGTTGGTACACATCCGATCCCGAACAATCCACGGTTTGGTGAGTTCGGATTTATATCCAGGTTTAATTTCAGACCCAACTTGTATTTAGTATGAAGTCTGAATAGAGAGGCGCTGACAACCAACCTGTCCAGGTACAGTGTTTCGGCTACGGTTCAACTTAAGATAAAATCTTGTTTCTTCATTTGGTCATATGCACAGAAGATGCCAAATATTAATGAAAAAAAAAGTCCGGTAAAAGACTCGGCTGGGTTCAAATCTAGACCTGTAGGATCCACTAAAAATGTGAACCTGCAGTTTTCTATTTTTTATAGACTAGTCAACAAAATACATATTCGAATTTTCCTTTTGAAACTGTGTAACTCATAGTTATGTTCGTCACAATAAAATATACAAATCTCATTTATTAACATGATGAGAAAAAAAGCAAAGTACTAACAATGTACTAGCTTCCATGTTGACACTTGAAAATATTTTTAAGATACAAAAGTACATGTTCTTATTTGTCGAAATGAAAAGAAAAATCACAAATGTGAAGTAGAAATTAAGTTATAAAAAAATAGAGGCTTGATTTTTTTTTTTTAGTTGTAAAAATAGGTCAGTAAATACCAATCTATTTTGTGAATATTACCTGTTGAATATTTGATTTTCTTGTGCCATTTCCATTTATAGATGTTTTTGAAGAATTTTTATTTGACGAAGATATAACTTTTCTAACAGATGGTGGTGATCGACATATAATAATTTCTTCATCATTAATTTTAGATTTTGATTTTAGATTTTCAATATTATTCAATGATGATGTTAATTGTTGATCATTATTTAATGTTTGAACATATTCAATTGAACTACCTGATGTATGTCGTCGTTTAATTTGACGTTGTTGTTTTGGTTGTTCGATTTCTATAGGTACTACATCGTCATCATCATCATCATCATCATTGTTATTATCATTCTTATCTTTATCCTCATCATCATTTTCTTGTTCAATATTATTTTCATTATCATCAATTTTTATAATTGTAGCAGATGATGATGATGACGATGCGATATTTTGTCTTTGTTTACGTGTTTGATGACGTTTTTGTGAAGATCTTTCTGATGAAATAGTTATTGAAGGTGATAGACTACGTTTTGATGTACGTTGTGAAGATACTGTTATTTGTTGAGTTAAAGTTGTCGATGATGAAGAGGATTTTGTTGTTAACGAATGAGTTGATGTTGATGAATTACTTGACATTGATGATGAACGTGCTAAAATAAAAGGAAACAATCAATTTTACAATATAAGAGAAGAATCTTGTCCAAGTTAAAAATGTACTATTTCGTAGAAATGAACAAGATCATTTCTTTTTTATTTCAATAACTAAAAAGTATATCTACCAAATCATCAACAACTGTTTCATTCTCGGCAAACAACGAACTCTGTTTTGAGTACGATAAGATAAGAAGAGAAATGAAAATGAAACGATAGGAGTTCGGGTATTAGTAAAAAGTATTTAATAAAGAAATAGCTAATATGAAATGAACAACAGAGAAACGAGACATAATAAAAAAATGTTATTTATGAATATAAGATGAAAAAATGAATATGATACAAAAAAGACATGAGAACAAGAGAATATCTTTTTGAGATTTCGATGGTTATTTGTATGGTTTAATGTTTTGCAAAAAAATGCACAAAAAAGCTTGACAGAATTTCCTGTGTTTCATAACTTTCTTTTAATCTGATAAATAAAATCTTTTAGAGCAAATACTATGAAAAGTATTCTTAAGCGTATCAATGTATAGATTTAGCTATATGTTAAAAATTTTGTCAAGGCTCTTCATATATTCAATACTATCATTATCAATTTTGACATTTCACACATAAGGCAAGCAAAAGAAAAATTTATTACAATATGAAAAAAAACAACCATTGCTTATGAAGTTATCCAATATATATGTAAAAGTTCCTATAACTTTTCATACAATAGAAATAAATGTAAATCATAATTTTAATATTTCTTTCTAATTTATTTTGGCTAAAAGAGAAGTTTTTAAACCGATGGACTCTAGTCGCACCATATATGTGTAAGTGCGCTACCCGCCAAATACTAAAAACCGAAAAAAAAACTTCCGTCTCTTTGGAGCGGTTACCCAATTCAGATGAGTCTCAAAATACGATTCGATTGGCTCTGAAAAAGTTTTATCAACTGAATCAGAACCTGAATCTGAAAAACGTTCAATAGATCGAGTTCGGTTTCAAAAATTTTGTATCCTATGAATTCTACTCGCAATGCACTATTACGTTCTTACATTTCTTTGCATGATAAAACAACTAACTTAGAAAAAAGAATAATTTGATCAATAAAAGAAGTATTTTATTCAAACGTATATAATCGAAACAAAAAAAAATATCAATCTATTTTTTTATCATTGTTTTCCACTTACTATAATTATCTTTTGGTAGTATTTTTCTTGGTAAACTTGATGCTGATGTAATAGCTAAAGTAAATGAAGATTGTTCAAGTAAAATAGGTTTTGTTTCATTTATCTAAAAATTAAGAATAATTTATTTAAGGAATTCAAGTAAATATCTTATACCTTCGTCATTTGTTCAACCTGTTGTTTAACATTTAATTTATTATTTGAATTAATTCGATTTGTTTTTGAATTTGTTATTGTTACATTTGAATGAATTTTTTTCTTTACTGGTGATGATAATGATGTTGAACTATCTGTATGTTTAATACTTTTACGTTTTTGTCGTCCATTTGATAAATCATTTGATGAATTTGAATCATTTATCGATAATGAATCATTTGAATAAATATTATTTATTGATGATACTATTGATACAATTGAACCTTGACTAAATGCAGTTCCTTTAGGTAATTTTGGAATTGTATATGGATAATTTTCTATAAGTTTACTATATGATGAAAGATTTTCTAAACATAAATTAGCACATGTACGATTTTTATGTTGACATTTTGGATAAATAAAATGCTTTTGTTCAATTTTAATTAAACGAATTTTTTTCGATAATTTTTTATCAATAAGACCAAAATGTGACGCTTGTTTAGCTAAAATTAATTTTATTGTTTCAATATTATTATTTTCATCATCATCATCAATATTATCATTTACTGTTCGTAAATTACATTCAACTTGTAAAATTAAATCTGAAAGAATTTTTTGACAATTTTCATATTCATATTGTTCATGTTTATTTAATACATGATAGTTTAAAGTACGTAAACATGGAAATGATGTTAAACATAAATGACATTGATATAATTTTGATGATAAATAACCTAATGGTAAACGTTGTTGTTCACATGCATTTTTAGCAATTAATGGAAATTGTTTTGATGAAAATGCTGATACAAGATATGTTGATATATAACTATAATTCGGTAAGGTTAAATGTTTTGAATTAAATTTTGTTTGCATAGACGAATGACGTCGTTGTTGATGAGTTTTAAGTGAACGATGTGAACGAAATGTTATTTGACAATGTGAACATAATATTGATTGATTTGGATGATACATATTAATATGATGATTAACACCGTATTCACTAGCAAATAATTTTGAACATGTATTACATTCGTGACATAATCCTTGAATATCGTCAAAATCGTCTTCGTCTTCTTCAAGTAATTCAATTAAATTTGGTGTTAACTAGAAAAAATATTGAAAAAAAAAACATCCGAAATCATCAAGTAGGAAAAAACGAATTGGCGCGAAAATGATCTATTTACTTGAAATAATCGACGACGATTATCAACTGATGATGATTTATTTTCGTTAAATGATGAGAAACGATTTAATGTTGTAATTGTTAGACGTTTGCGTTTTAAGCGTTCATTTTGATTACTAAATGAAGTTGACGATGAACGTAATGTGAAACTCATGATGATAAGAATATTTATGACGATCGACCATTTGAGAAAAAGAACAAAAACAATAGACAAAAAAAAAATGAGGGCGATTTTCTGTTATGCTTATATAGAATGTGAAAGTTCAAGGACAATCTTGAATCTCACTATATCGTTTTTAACCAATGAACATGGCTTTGTTTATTATTATTATTAGTAAAATCTGTAATATAGACAAATGAAATAGTAAAGAAATATTATTTAAAGTAAAATTATAAAAATCAGCTGTTAAAACAAAACAAACTTTTCGACAACAACAATCATCCTTGTTCACTGCGATCCTTTTTTTTTGCGCACCCTTTTTATTTTTATTCTGTAAACTTAATGACGACATCTGCAGTCGACCTCGGTTATTATTATAGTTTATATTTAAAATAAAACGACGAAAAAGATAAAAAGAGTCTATCTCAAATATGGATATTGGAAAGAAATATCAATCAATTCTAAATATTTCATCACTCTCTTAAATACAAATAAAAAAAAAAGAATGTTGTTTGTATCGAACCTAACAATAAGTCTAATATATACATGTAAAAATTGATACGGAAAGAAATGAAAAGATAAGTTAGGATAACTAAAGAATGAATCTATGAATGACACACAACATATTCAATATTCTAGAAACCATTTAAATACATGTTAACAAATACATTCTTTCATCCAATGAATGATGATGGTGATGATTTTTGTGTGTCCTTATTCGACTGATTAGAGTGTTAACTATGATCTATATAAGATTAGTTTTCTAATCTAATACTAACACGCAATAAAATTTTTAAGTTACAATAATTAAAATGAACTTATAAAGATATGTATATGATTGAATAAGTAAACCTGTATCTATCTATTTCGTCAATAATTACAGTTATCGTAGTCGCCATTTTGGTTTTTTTTACACATAAGGCCTCAATAATGATGCGTCCTGTCTAACGGTGCAGGCAGCTACACAGTGGTCTTTATATATAAGGCAAATACTATTTTTTTCTGTTCTTAAAATAAATATTCATTATTTTGAAAAATTTAAACTAGAATATGAGTAAAACATATTGTAATTTTAATTTAGCAAATAAAGCCTATAGAAAAATTTTCAATATATGTTTTTCTCTTGAAATTATTTCAATTAATCAATTAAAAAATGTCAATTATGATTAATTTTTAAAAATAGACCTTTTTTTATTTGTATTTTTTATTTTTATATGCAACAAAGGAAGTTCTTGAATAGACCGGACGATACTTTTTTTAGCTTTTAATAGATATGCATATTTAATAAACATTCTTCATTGTATTAATTACTATATCCTTAATATATAATACAAATGATTTTGTAGATTAGGATGCACATATCTTCTCACTGATTGCATATATGTAGATAAAAGAAAAAGGATTTCATTATTTTATATATACGTGCTTTGAGTAGAATGATGAAGTCGACAGATGTCCGAAACATGGAAAGTATTTTTTGGGTAAAATAGTTTCATTGTTTTGCTCATTAGACAAAATTTATTTTTATAACTGTAACGATGTCCTCATTAAGTCAAGATTACTTACGTGATTCTGCTTAGTTGATGTTGCAAATAAATTTACTCTAAAAAATATCTTTATTGTAATGTTTTATCTAGATTTTCTCTTTCGAAATGATGATTTGCAACTCTGAGACAAAAGAACACTTGTTTGAGGGAGTACAAACACATAGTACGTGTTACAATAACCACAAATTATGCGAGAACCGCCGTACTATTCGGAGGAGCATAATCCTCACGCTAGATAAAATACTATTTTATTAAAAATGTATCAATATATTTCTATAATCACATGATTTTCATGCATTGCTAAGATTATCGAGAACATTATAATGTCTTTCTTTTCTTTTATTATTTTTTTTAATGGCATATTAATAAAAACAATGGTATACATCAAGATTCAACAAGAAATGGTATTGTTCATAAATAGTGTTTAAAATATATTTTGTAGAATCTCATGTAAAATACTTGTTCTTTATCAATACCAAGTTAATTATTCCGAAGGTGAATAAACATTTGATTGGTGTTATTTTTATTTTTCTAGGAATTCAAATAGATATTATTTCTTTTATTTTTTTTTCAACACTTTACATAAAATCATTATCTTCATCATAATCTTCATCTTTGTCAAGACTAGTGATACCTTCACCAACAAATGAATCTATTTCACTTCGTCGATCTGCTGTTAATTGTGGTTTAACCGGTTTTTTTGCTTTAGGTTTTTGTTTTTTTTCACGTTCTTCATTTTGTTTACGTAATAATATAGCATGTAATGTCGCTTGTATATGTTTAACACTATCGAGTGATATTGGCTTTGTCAATCCAGTAAGTAAATCATCAAGAAATTCTTTATAAAATTCTGATTTTGATAAAAGATCAAGACGATTATATAAACGAAAACTATAATCAAGAAATTCATCTTTTGTTATTAAATTAGTATTATCTAACGAATGACGTTCACCACTTGTGCCAATAAAATCTGTTGCCATTTTTAATTTAACTTCTTCTTTTTGTATTTCAGCACGTTTCCTTAATTCATCAAGTTCTTCAGCTGTATATTGTCGATCAGGTTCTTTTAAGGATTCAAGAAATTCTTCATCACTTGTAGGTTCATCACCACCATATTTTTTTTTAATTTGTTTATTTTTTGTTGTTGGTGGTGCTTTTACAGGTGCTTTTGGTTTTTCTTCTACGTCGGACTTTTTAGGCTAGAAAATACAACAATTTTATGAATAATAAAAATAAAAAGATGATCAACAAACTTTTTCTTCTAATTCATCTTCCCAAGCATCAGGAACATCATCATCATTATCATCTCGTATGTGAAGATTTGACAAGCTACTATCTTGCCAGTGATCAGCCATTTTGAAGATTGATGGAGAGTAAATCTAGAACAAAAATCGCATGATTCTTTTTAAATATAAATAATCATATTTCAGCAGTGTTTCAATTCCCAAAAAACAGAGTTTTCAAGTATTTATATTCGAAATTGTTCAGTACTTCTAAAAATTATGTAATTTCTGAAGATTTGCGTAATTCTGCATTTATCAAAATGTTTGAAATTGCTGAAATTTCAAAAATACCTAAAGTTTCCAATATTTCTAAAATTTTTTGCTTTGTATCACTGTATAATTATCGAGTTTTTTGGAAATTTCGTTTTTCAATAATATGCACATATTATGTCATGTTTTGACATTTCGTACGAACAAAAAATAAACTAGGTGTTTTGTACTAAATTTATTTATAGAAACGCAAGATTGGTTGATAACTAGTATCGTTCAACTAGAATGATGAATTTGATGTCGCTATATATCAGATAGAAATTACAATAGAAGAGAAAAATATAAAAAGAAATGTTTGAATTTTTAAATATTTCCAATTAATAGACCTATTCTTATACTTTGTAACTATCAATACATGTCGCTAGTTGACGATTGTCAATGATTTTATCAAATAAATATATGTTAGATAGAAGATATTCTAATTAATACCATACTTAAATTATTATATGTTGTTCTGAAACCAAGTATAATAATGGACAATTTTTCTTTTTGATTTTGACTATGTTTATCTCATAAGATACAATGACCTTTTCAGAATTTTTCTTAAGATTCAATTAGGTTATTCTGTAAAAGACATAGCATTCATATGTTGCACAAGAATCGAATATCATGTGACGCTATTTTATTTTCTTTAATATAAACATTTCATTGTTCAATACAAATACTCTACATTAACTATATAGTGAATAACAATACTATGTAGATGTTACACGAATGGGAAACATGCCTTATTTTTATACAAGCATAAAATTGGAAAAAACAAAATCAATATTGTTTACCGACATTAACATGTGAATAAAATCATCTGTTGATAAGACCACATACCTTAAGCTGTAGACCTAGTATATATTTAACTGATTAAAGATTGCTTTCTTTTTATCTGTAATTTGGAATAGGTAAGAAAATAGCACAAAACAAAAGCAATAATTATCTGATGCGACTATTATTTAGATTACAAATATGAAATCTATTATCTGTTTACTTATTACTCTTGGTGCTGTTTACGGTTTCTCTTCGCGTAAGTTAAGGATATAGAATATTCATCGATATTATTGAAGAACATTATATTTTTGAACAGCGATCAGACCAAATTGCATGTTTGTTGCTTGCCCTATGAACATCCTGACATGTTCAGACGGTACACCTGCTCCAGTTCCTGTTGGAGGTTGCTGCCCATCATTAAGTGCTTGTAAAAACATTGATGTTGATCCAATCAAACGTAATGAAAATAATTGGATTCAAAAATCTTTTTAAATTAACTAATATCGATTTCGTTTTGCAGCCATCGCCGATTGTAGATTTGTTGCATGCACAATGGATCTGAAGATCTGCTCAGATGGTACACCTGCTCCAGTTCCTGTTGGAGGTTG